CTGGAAGCACAGCAGCAAGGTATTGCCTTTCTACACCTCAAAACAAGCCACTGAGCTGTGGAACCTGGAGAAGTTAAGGTGTGCCTTAGTGCCAAGTTTAATCATACTGATTAGAGGCAGCAGGCCACTCAACACTAAAGAGCAGAATTAAGAAGACAAAGGCTTTTTGTCTAACTTTGATTTGACTAAAAAGAATTCTTTAACTACTTGGACTAGTAGCTCCTGCAACAGGTATTTGTTTAATTCTAACTGCCAGTTTGAATATTAGTGACTTCTCACCAACCACAAACAGGTAATTTAACCTTTTTGTCTAGGTGACACACCCAACTAAAATGGGTTACTTCTACAGAAACAGATGAAATAGTGTTAACAAAGAGATAATTTCCCAAAATACAGCAAGTTTCTGGATATCCATAAACTTTGCTGACAGTACTATAACCAATGTGCTGAACTCCTATGGCACTGCTTTTACAGTGGGTGTACGGTTCTGAAGTGTGTCACCAGTTGCTGGGATTGCAGTTAGCTTGTAAAGCTTACATGATGTCTCCTTAAAGGATTTAGCAACTGAAGCTGCTGCACAGGATCTGTTTGAGCAAATATGTTCCTGTTGACCCACTTACCAGGAAAACTGTTTGTCTCAAGTACAGTAGGAGTTACATGATACCTGGATCTGGGCTGAGGACTGCAGACATGCTGTAGGATGATAATATGACAACTGTCATTTTTTTCTAAATACACTTCCAGGAATTAAGAGAGGACTGACTTACAGCCCGTAAATAGTAACAGGCATTCACATGCCCTTTAGGAGTGTTGACATGCACAAGCCCACCCTGAAAACGTGTAACAAGCAGAAGGGAACCACCACTCCTCTGGTGGTGGCTCCTGAGTGAACAGCTAGTAAAGACTCATGAGAGACAGCATATGGCATGCAAGGGTACTTACACTGAGAACTTAGCTGTTGGTTTACACTTTTCCTCAAGAGGTAAGGGCAGTAGTTTGCTGTTTTACTTTCACAGGCAGTCCAGCTGATTGTGTTAGTTTTAACCACTGCACAGGCACCATGCTCTGATCGTCTAGGCACCTTTAGAGGAGATGACTACTTCATCAAGTTTCATTTCACTAGAAAAAGCACTTGGATCTTTATACCCTACTGCATTGTTCTCCTTTTTAGTTCACCCTAAGCCTTCACACAAAGGATACCTTAGAGTGGTACAAACTCGCTGCCTAATGCTGCTGATGGAAAGCAAATTCTCAAGTGGGCTGTCAAGAACATGACCCACTCAAATCTGCTATTTTAGCACTGCAGGATGGCATTTTCTAGTATTTACCATTACTGAACAAGACATTTGACTTTTATTGCCAAGCTGCACTGCAGTGGCAAACTGCCACACTGTGTGCCTTATAGTGGTTGCTACAGAGGGAAGCTTTCTCTTATCACCTTGTCCGGTTTGCCGAGAACAGAATGTTATTTAATGCAAGTTCAGGCTCAGAAAGTCAATACTTGAGCCAACTGACCATCTGTGAAGTAAGCTGCCCCACTAGAAGTATTGCACAGCTTCTTCCTGCAGTACCCTCAGAGACCTTAACTTCTTCTGAAAGTCCCATGCATTCACCAGAATGCACAGTCATCCTACCAGCCTGCACAGAGACACACGCTATGAGAAAACTTTCTTAAGTGCTGAAATACAATTGACTTGTTTATCCAGTAGCGTACCACTGAGCAGTCTACGCCAAACTTTTAAGTTCCCCCTTAGGCTTTCCAACTTCCACCAGAAGTTGGTGAGTACAGCAATACAAGAACTAAAGCATGAGGTTCTTCCACCTGTTGCTCTCCAAGCAACAGATATGCTTCAGCTGCAACACCAGTAGAAAGCTTGCCAATAAAAAACTTTGCAGGAAACTCTGCAGTATTTCAACACAAGCATTTTTTTTGCAAGATATTAGTTAGTCGGCATCAATTCAAGAATCTGCTAGCAAGCTCAGTCTTCCCAAAAAAAGTTAGGCTTTGAGAGTCAGACAAAGCAATAAAGATAGAATTACCCTCAGACGAAGTTTGTAAACGCCATGACAATGTTACAAGTCTAATTGCTTCAACACAAACTTGAATCTCAGTGCCTTCTCTGACAATGTTTCAGGCTTAGCGTGACCTCCAGCCATAATAAGAAGCTATCCAACAGCTTTTACCAGAACTTGACAGCAGTTAAGCCATCCATTTCTGTACCACTTCACATTTTAACGCTGGTGGTTAGTTGAAGACATCACTTTCCAGATATGACACAGGTAACTCCATCTTTTCAGGTTCCCTCTGCTGCCACTCTTAGCACTGCTGGGGGAAACTGCAAATGCCAGCTGCTACTTTGTGTGACCACAAACAGTTGCCAAAACAGAGGCTAGCTGGTGGCTATTGTCTGCCACACTTCAACAAGTGGCTTATAGTACAAGGCCTACCTTCTAGAAATACAATACTACAGCAATTCAAGTTCAAACTTTTCTCCCATGCTGAAGCTTGCATATTAGCAACATGGCCTGTGCTCTGCTGAGAAGCAGTTAATTGATACAAGTTTAGACAGTGAACATAATTCTGCATGACTTGTATTACCTGCTCTGTAGCCTGCCAGCATACAGAGACATAAAACTCAACTTTACAGCTCATCATGCTGTAAGTGTACACAGCATGGATACAGTAGATATACAGCAGTACACAACTGCAAAGGGAATGATCACGTATTGTAAGAGATAGTCCCATATACAGGCATGCACAGACGGAAGCAAGGAGTGTGGAGGAAGCAATGTTTATGTAGTAGTTGAAATGTGAGGAAGAATAAAGGAAGGTCACAGTACTATCACAGGCTATATTTGTTCAAGTCACTTCTAGGTCCTTGTTACAAGAGGAATCCAGAATTTTCTATCCTAAACAGCACATAGGCTAAGAGTAACCTGTCTCAAAACCTGTTTTTCTGCTTTCCTTTCTGCTGAAGAAATTCAGTTCGGTATTTAAAAAACATTATTATTTTTTAATGCCAGCAAAATTGGTCTCATTCCCAAGGCCATATGATGGCTCAGTCCCTTTTGTATCATCTTCCCCAGATCCTGCAATTCCAAATGCTCAGTCTCATGGAAAGAAAAGTCATCAGGAACTTAAGGCACAAATACTTCCCAGCAAGGTAGAGTTACATCTTTCCATTAAGTGGACAACTAGGATCCTGGTAAGGGCAGTGTAATGCAACACAACTTGGCAAGTTCTAGTTTGTCCTCACAGAGGCCAAACACAGCCTAAAATTATTTTGGTTTATTCTTCCTGCCCTATGAACACATCTTGAAACATGAGAATAGCTACTGGACATGACAATTTAGGAGCATCAGAACTAATGCTAGCAGCTTTAGATCTCAGGTGATTTTGCTTTTTTAAGTAAAATTACACTAAGCTGAGAACTTAGACCTTTAATACCAGAAAATCCACACAGGGTTTTAGTCTTATCTGAAGAATTTTTGTGACCAAAGCAGCAGCCCTCATCTGATCTGAAGCCTTCCCTGCCATGAAGGCATGTGCACCCCATGGTGTCCAGTGAAAGCAAAATTCATATTCCAGAAAACACATGCAGGGGGTCAATGAGGCTTCTTCTCCCTCTATCACTGCCTGCAATAACTGACCAGGTTCAATCAGCTGCAACAGAGTAAAGCTATACCAAGCAGCAGACTCAACCACAAGCTACAAAAAAAGATAAAATTGTAAAAGCTCATCTTTCTCAACCCAACTTACCCCTGGCAGCATAAACTCAGAAGTACCCTGCCTCAAGTCCCTACCAGCTACGGGCAAGGACCATGCCGTAGATACTGCCTTTTTCTGTTCACTCCTCCAGGCTCTATTTTTGAAACTAGAAAATACAGGGAATGCAGTAATGACCTCATATAGCTTTTCTGTGACCTCATATAGCTTTTCTGAAGCTCAAGACTACTAGCCTTTGGGGCAAGTCAGTGAACAGCCCTTCCAGCTAGGAAGGAGCCTACTGCTACTAAGAAAAAGTATGTGATAGCCCACAGTGAGAAACAGCCCTGTTTGTTAGGCACTCAATCTATATTTCAGGGGCAAAAGAACACAGGAACCCCTCCCCCACATACACTCACCTTATCACTTCAGCCAGCTTTGATCTAGCACATGCGCCCACTAGACTTATTTACACATTCTCTATGGATTTTTGAGGCTGCTGGAATCCTGAACTTGACCTCCTTCACAGGGCAGGAGGATCCACCCATATTACTACATCTCAAACAGCTGAAGAGTTTGCCCTCTTCTATTTACTTAGACACAGGCAAGCTGTTGTGGTTGAACACGGCCTACTCACTGCCGAGGTGGTGTGAGAAGGAGCAAAAGGCCTTGACTCCCTGTAAGCAGGGCTCAGCCATAGCAAAAACATCTCTGTATTATCAACACTGTTTGCAGCACGAACCCAAAACGCAACCCTGTGCCAGCCACAACAAAGAAAATTAACTCTCCCCCAGCCAGAGCCAGCAGGCAGGCGATTGCTGGCAGTGTGGCCATGTTTCAGTCACTGGCAGCCGCGCATAGTGGTGCCAGAAGAGCATCTGCTCCCTGGTTATCTTAACCAAGTTATGCTGTCTTAGCTACCATGGCAGTTATCAGCCCCAGGTTCTGTGAGGGCCTGGGGCCTGCTCTCAGGCAGGAGGATGAAGTCCACACCGCCGCTCTGCCGTCCTCCCCAGAGGCACTACCTGCGAAACGGGCCCTGAAGGACACGGTGACAGCGGCCTGTCACCACCACCCCGGCCAGCCCCGGCCCCGGCGACACCCCTTCCCGCTCACAGAGCCCGACAGCCATACACAGGCTCCGCGCTCCCCTTCTCAAGCCCCGTATTTACCCCCGAGGCGCCGGGCCCCGCCGCGGGAGGGGCGGGGACGGAGCCGGCGGAGCTCCCCTGGCCGCTCGCCTGGGAGAGAGGGAGCGGGACCGGCCCCAACGCCCGCCGGGCCGGGCCCTCACCTTGACGCGGATCTCGTAGGTGGTGAAACGGCCGCGGCCCACCCCCACCGTCTGCGGGTTGCCCACGTCGATCTCCAAGAAGTTGCTGGGCGGCCCGTAGGCGTCGTTCAGGTTCTGCGGCTTGCTGATCAGCCGCCGGGTGTCGGCGATCGTCTCGGCCATGGCGGAGCGGGCGCCTTTTCTTTTTATTTCCCCCACCCCCGGCTTCCCTCCCTCCTTTCGGAGCGCGGCAGGAGCGCGGCAGGACGCGAGCGAGCACCGAGCACCGAGCGCCGCCGCCCCGCGCCCCCCGCCCTCTTATCGCCCCGCGGCCAGCTGACTGCCCGGCAACGCGCACCCACGCCGCCGCCAGCGGATGCACCCGCCGCCCGCGCGCAAGGCAGACTGGGTACTGTAGTCCTCAGGGGCCGACCCTCTCCCTACGCCAGCCGCGGCCACCCGCCTACCGAACTACAAATCCCGGCGTGCGCGGGGAGGCTTGGAGCGGAGGGCGGTGAGAGCTGGTTTCTCGGGCGCGCCCGCCCGCCCGGCGCGGGCTGAGGCGCTCGGCCTGGCGGTGCGGAGGCTGCGGGGGGGTGGCGGCGGGGGTCGTCCCGCTGATCCCCCGCCCCTCCTCCTCTTGGGACTCGCAGTGAGTCCCTTTTTGTCGCCCAGGGAAGGAGAATGTGTGCGGGGTCGTGTTTTTTTGGGAGGGAAGGTTGTGCGGTGCGGCCGGCCCCGGGAGGCCGCGCCGTGAGGCGATCCCGGGGGGGCTCGGCCGGGCCCTGCGGCCGGTGAGGCCGAGGCGGGGCGGGGGGGGGACACTCTATTGGTGCGGTGCCGCGGCTCAGGAGAGTAGACAGACAGCGACAACGCGATTCAGTCACCGCAGCACCAGCGTAACGGGATTCCTTTTTATTTTAAACCAAAGAAGGTTTTAACAACACATGACAATTGTAACGCTTCGCTCCCAGCTGCAACTTGTCACCTGCGGCCCTTAAGGAGTGCAGAAAAGGAAGGACTGCTGTTCCTCACGCACAAGGAATCCCAGGATGGTTAGGTTGGTATTTTAGCCAGAAAAGTAACCTAGGTCTCAGTGTATGAGAGTAAGAAATGATTTTTGCAATGGCATTGTCATAGAATCATAGAGTGCTTTGGGTTGGAAGGGACCAGGCTGGATGGGCCTTTGAGCAACCTGCTCTAGTGGGAGGTGTCCCTGCCCAGGGCAGGGGGGTTGGAACTAGATGATCTTTAAGGTCCCTTCCAACCCAAACCATTCTATGATTCTATGACCTTAAAGATCGCCCAGTTCCAACCCCCCTGCCCTGGGCAGGGACACCTCCCACTAGAGCAGGTTGCTCAAAGGCCCATCCAGCCTGGCCTTGAACACTTCCAAGGATGCGGCATCCACAGCTTCTCTGGGCAACCTGTTCCAGTGCCTCACCACCCTCTGCGTGGAAATTTCTTCCTGATACCTGATCTAAAGCTACCCTTTTCTAGTTTGAATCCATCACCCCTCATCCTATCTCTACATGCCCTTGTCCCTTTCCAGCTTTCTTGTAGCCCCCTTCAGATACTGGAAGGTGCTATAAGGTCTCCCTGGAGCCTTCTCTTCTCCAGGCTGAACAACCCCAACTCTCTCAGCCTGTCTTCATAGGAGAGGTGCTTCAGCCCTCTGAGCATCTTTGTGGCCCTAAATGTCAATGGACACAAACAAAACTGTACATACCAAGATCAGAGGAAAAGGCAGTGCTATAATCAGGATATGAAATGGTGAGAGCCAGGATGAAAAAACTGGGTAGGAAATGCTGTATATGCAAGGTGTTGGGCAAAAAAACCCAGCCAGGTATGAATGTGGGCTGGAGGAGATACCTACTATAAGTTCTGCATTGAAAACAAAGTCTAGGTTGTTGATCCAAACTGATGGCAATATTGTCTGTAGTAGCATTAAAGCTTTAAAAAATTACTGAATTTCCACAAATGATATGTGTTTAATAGCAGTATAACCCCCTGGCCCAGATTTTATATCCTGATAGTTTACAAATATTAAGAGTTCACATTTAATTCATAGAGGATAGGAAAGGAAAATTGTGTTTACAGAATAACTTGAAAAGGTATTTTAGTAACCTGAAGAAAGATAGAAAAAAAGAGAAAGGGAGAAGGGGAGCTGACAGAATTGTTCCCTTCCAAGACATAAGGTCTTTGAGTCTTCAGTACCTGATTCAAGTAGATGGTGTGTTATGATAAAAGAAACATTACCAAAAGATGTGGAATGTTTGCCTTCTTGATGCATCTTGGACATCAGTGAATAGAAATTATATTAATCCAGTGCTAATATTTCTAAATGACTCTATTGTCTTAGAGGTCTTCCAGATTTATTTTTTTTATCTGTTAACAGTATCCCTCCTTAAATGCATACATAATTTTCCTTCCTTCCTTATGAAAGAGTTCTGGGGACGCTCCATTACTATCCAGGCAGAATGACACTGTAGGAAAACTAGTTCTGTTTTTTCTAAAAATCTGTGTCTAGGCAGTGGGCAAAATGGCAGGCTGCCCCCAGATCACATCCGAGAGACTCAAAGTTAACATCCAGCAAGTTTAGTTAGCAGTTGTCTATGTTAATAAAAAGATAATCAGAAAGCAGAGATGAACCCAAGGTACCAAATTAGCCCATCCACATAACCTGTATGCTGTAGGTGGTTTGCTTGGTAACTTTTCTGTGAATTTCCTGCTCATCACTCCTCCAGTATTATTTCTCGCTCTTACTGATGCACCTTCCTTACTTCCTTTCTTTCTGCTAATAGCTGCCAACTATTCACTTTATAATTATAAACAGAAATTAAGCTGACAGCTTTACAAAGTGGGAGTGAAAGGGAGCCTTACCTGAATTATGCTAGTTATTAAACTCGTCTTGCAGCAAGGCAAGAAATAACTCATTAATTCTACTGAGATTACGTGCGCACACATCTGGAGAAGCTTTTGTTTGTTACACAACCTATGGTACCACATCTGACTGCAAATGTGAAAATGCAGCAGAGCACTGGTGTTGTCTTAAGTATAATATATTGCCTGCCTCCTGGCCAATCCTGGTTTCATTATCTATTCCAAAGAAACAAAGTCCCTAATAGTGTACATTGGGGAAGTTGGTGAGCCTGTGATGAATCAAAGAATATAATTTGTTCTCATTCTGGGTAAATACAAAGAGTGAGGCTAAAGTTGAGTGCTTTTCTCACGGCACCATTGTTCCCTCTGCTTTTCCTAACACAGATAACTGGTGCTGGAGAGCTGTACGGAGGCAGGGTACAGGGAGTGAAGGTTTTAGTGCCTGTGTGTCAATTGCATTGGTAGGTAAGGAAGTTACATTGGTTTGGTAAGGTCTCATATCTCTGTGTTGTTGTTTTTTTTTTAATTGAGGCCATATTCAAACCCTCTGACCTGAGAGACAAAGGGGAAGATGTCCTGCTTCATGACAACCCCCCTTACATGAAAGCATGCATGCCACGCTGGCTAATGAGACAAAGAAAAGGCACGAAGGTGGGGAAAAAATCAGAGCCCTGCGAGCCTCCTTGTTTCCTTCCCACCCTCAGAAAATGCATGTGTTTATTTTGAATCATCAGATCGTTTTTTGTGATCCATAAGACTGGAGTTACACTATCTGTAGTGGTTTCTGTTTGCTAGAAAGGTTCTTTTCTCAGGATGAAGGTGAGCATAAATTCAGAAATGAAAGTTTCAGTTCTGTTTCTGACATGAACTTTGGGCCAAATTTCGAATCTGGAGAGAAGGAGGTCAGCTGTGTTTGTAGGTCCAAAGATTAGTTGCAAGAAATCAAGCGTTTAGACTAACAACTAAGAGATTAGGCACTTGTGGTTTTATTACTACACATTATTTATTCAGCTATAATACAAACATTTTCTGGCATAACTTCAAGTGGCAAGGTGAATACCAGGGTTTTATAGCATGTACCTACAGAAGCAGGTATTAACAGATGATTCATTCTTAAATTTGGTATAGTAATATCTCTTAAGTAGTTTTTTTGTTTGTTTCTTTGTTTTTAAAAGAAAGTTACATTTCACTGGAAAGGAAACGAAATCTCTCCATTATCCAGTTAGGATTCTCCAGCCTTCTGACAGGTGCCAGGTTAACACATTTTAGTCGACACAGGCATATTTTGTCGAAACTAGTGGGGAATGCTGACTCAGGGTAAAGCAAAACTCACAAGGCATTGAACTCATTGTGCAATGCTTTATGCGGAAAAATGACTTCCTGATTCCTGCATGAGCTCCAATGCTTTGAAGCACGATGTTTGAATGTCTGCATTGTATACTTACAATCCAGATAAAAACATTAAGTGTATAAATACAATTTGTTATATCCACATACTTTATATATATATATTTAGATTTAACTGTCACATTCAGTTCCTCTTCTCTCTTTATACACTATATTATCCCTTTCAACAGGGATGATTCTCATATACACTTCCAGATTCTTTAGCATGTCATCCACCAGCTCACAGGCATTCGTTTCTACTGTGAACCCCTTGTTCTGAGAGGTGCTGAGTGGTGTCCGTGTAGCTGGAAAACTGTGCAGTGAATTTCTAGCACATTGAGCTGTTTGAGCTGACTGAAATGCAAGCTATAAACAGATAGTGAAAATAGATAGTGAAAAACCCCTAGTTTGGGGACATTTCTGCAGCTTTATTAATCTGAGGCTTTATAAGCAACATAGACTATTAATAGCGTATTTGGTTGTCTCAAAATAGATGAGATTAATATCATTTACCCCCAAGTGTTTTGACATAATCCCAGGAAAATGGCTTCTGATGGAAACCGTGTTGATGAAAACTAACCACAAAATGAATTTTCTTAGAGTAGGCTGAATGGTCAGTCCTAGATCAAAAGTATGTTTATGTATGGGAGCCAAAGATGTTTCCCATGGTGGGAATATCTTGGAGCCTTGCTGGCAGGTAGACCCTGCCCTCGTTCTGCAGAACCTTAGAGAAGGTCTGGCAGAGGCCTGAAGACCCTTGGACACATGCATCACCACAGAGTTCAGTACCTCAGGATTTCTAAAAGGAGCACACTTTATACCACTAAAGGCCAGAGGTGGCCTCTGGAGGGGTTTTATTACACCCCTGATTTTAATTCCTGTTAAAGACCACCTATACTTTTGGCTAGCTGGCAGCTGAGTAGCTGGGTTTAACAAGTGTCAGTTTGATTTCTACTCGGTTGAAATGCCACATTTTTGGCAGTGAGCAAAGGAACAGGTACAGTGAACAAAATATCCAAACATATTACAGAATGGATCTATATCTGTTACAGGCCATTAACCACACTAATCTATAGAAACATGCTTGAAAGTCCTGTTCTTTTTGGGTTAACACCACCACGTGTTTTTGCCAAGTGCTTACAGCCAATGCTGGGATGTGCAATACAGCGTGCGGTGGCATTCCAGAGTTTGCCAGTGTATAGAAGACTCACAGGGTTGCAGAGGGTTTATTCACTTAGGTAGAAGATGTCAGAGTAGACCCAATTGGGAAGTTTTTCTGTGCTGCCTTGGATAACAAGGTTAAGAAAAAAACAGTGACAATTTAAATAAATCAGATGTTTTTGCTGAAGATTATGCTGTCATTTTCTCCAATTATTCTTGACATTTCACCCGTTCATATTGTGATCTGAGTTAATAATGGAAGAAAAAACGGCTCTTCTTGCCTTGTTTATTCTTTGTTCTCAAGGAGATAAGCTGTTTATAAAGATAAGTTATTTGTTATTTAAATCACTTTTACTGAAGTTGTTTGTTTCCTTGTTTGAGTTTCTAAAAATATTGCAACAATTGTGATGCATCTTGGAGATGTCTATTCAATTCACTATGATTTGTACTGGAATTCATTCCTAAATGGGCACAGGTGTTGATAGCTATAACATGCTAGGATGAATCAAAACCAATAAATGCTCAATAAAGGAAAGATGAAAGAAAATGCACCAAAACCAGCTTTTTAAAGATGTGATAAACTGGCACTTTGGTTCACTACTTAATTAGGTATTTAGTATTGAAGATGTGTCTGGAGCAACTACATATTTTAAAACAGCTGAACATGTTAGAAGATAACTTCACTCACTGATAATATTTTCAAGATCATAAACGTTATTTTTAAAATTAGCAATACTATTCAGGATATAATCAAATGTTGTTTGCAAGCTGTTCTGTAGTGCCCTGGTGCAACATTTTGCTACACTCTTATAAAAAATAAAGTTATTAATGGTCTATGAAAATTACTTGCTCGCTTTCTCATGTTGCGTGGAAGTTTAATGCTGTGATAAGCTAGGGGGTTCTGACGTTGCAAAAGCAAAAGTCAGTTAAAGCATTTCCTTTGCGCTTTTACCACGAGCAGACATTTTGTTACCCGTTTTTTGCACAATGCTCTCCTTAGGCAACATCTTTTGAAGCCCCATCCTGCCCTTTGGGTGCATTTCTGACGGGAAGGCAGGGCTGGCCAGCCAGCCACTGAGTGAGTGCTGGAGTGGATCGTGGATTCCCGAGTGTGGGTGCTATTTCCTTGGAGTGCAGGCTGCTCTGCATCGTGCCTTTCTGCCCAAAAAGAGCTTTGTAGCCACAGTGGCAGTGGCTGGATAAGGCCATCCGGTACCGACCAAAGGAGGCTGGTAGTCGGTGTTCTCTGGCGGAGCTCTGGGTGAACTGCCCAGGATGGGGCTGGCCCTGTGCCGAGCACACACCGGCCCTACAGGGCTGAACCAGGCTCTGCGTTTGGCATCATCTTCAGGGAGATTGCTTTTATGTTAACGTATCTTGCTGTTGGAGGTTTTAAATATATGTTCTTAGGAATACTACATCCAGTTCTGGGCTCCCCAGTTCAAGAGAGACAGGGAGCTACTGGAGAGAGTCCAACGTAGGGCAACTAAGATAATTAAGGGATTGGAGCATCTCCCTTATGAGGAAAGGCTGAGAGACCTGGAGCTCTTTAGCCTGGAGAAGAGAAGGCTGAGGGAAGCCCTTATCCACGTTTACAAGTATCTAAAGGGTGGGTTGAAGGATGATGGAGCTGGACTCTTTTCAGTGGTTCCCGGTGACAGGACGAGGGGCAACAGGCCCAAGCTGGAACATGAGTTCCTCCTCCACTCAAATATGAGGAAGAACTTCTTTCTGGTGAGGGTGGCAGAGCCCTGGAACAGGCTGCCCAGGGAGGTTGTCTCCCCTTCTCTGGAGATTTTCAAGCCCCGCTTGGATGCAGCCCTGAGTGATGTGCCCTGGGCAGCCCTGCTTTGGCAGGGGAGTGGGACTGGATGGTCTCTAGAGCTCCCTTCCAACTCCGACAATTCCGTGATTCCATTCCGTGGTTTTGCTACTTATGTGCAGATACACTGTTAACTCTGTCCGGGAATATTTTGCCTTTACTGTTTTACAAATATTTGTCCTTAGTATTTTATGGTCCACGCTTTTATAGGTAAATGACACGAGCTAGAAATCGTCGACAAAATGCAGATTCAGTTGCCAAACTCCTCGGTGATGGCCAAGCAGGCCGGAAAGCTGCCATATCCGATGCAGCCACAGCGCCACATGGTACGGATCATCGCTGACAGGCAGGTTGTGTGGAAAATTGGGGTGTGTGGCTGCGGCAGTAAGGCACCAAAAACGGCACCAGCGTGGCACCCGGGGTCACTAAGGTGCCATTTGTGCTGAGAGAGCGGCCGACCTGGCTGTGTGAGGAGCATGGCCCTGGGGTGGGTATGGCCGGCTCTGCCTCTCCCGGGGGCTGCCTCACAGCCTGCGGCTCGCTGTGAGGGGAAAGGGGAGGGAGAGGAGCCGGGGACCCCCGTTCCTGCTGGGCCCAGCCCCGGCCCAGGCCCGGCTCCTCCGAAGGCCGGCGGCCGTTGCCCCGGGAGGGGCGGCGGGACTCCATTTCCCAGCGCGCCCCGCGCCCCCGCCGCAGAGGCCGGGCCGGGAAGATGGCGGCGCCCGTGTCGCCCTTGGTTACTGCGCGCTGCTTGTTGCGGGCTTCGGCGCGGCGTGCCGCCCGCCTGGGGCTCCCGGCGCCGGCCGCCGCCCTGCGGAGAGGTCAGTACCGCCGCGGGAGGGAGGGGGCTCGCCGGCCCCGTTGTCGGGCGAAGGGAGGGCTGGGGCACCGCGCGGGGAAGGAGGGAGGCAGGCAGGGCACCGTGGAGCGGCCGCAGGAGCCGGTGCCTCCCTCCCCGCCGCTGGTCTCCCCTCCGGCGGAGGTGGGGCCGAGCTGAGGGGAGGGGGCTTGCCGGTGCCGGGCGGGCGGCAGGCACCGGCGGGACGTGCACCGGCCCGGCCGCGCTGGCGTGTCCTGGCCGTGTCCTCACGTTCCCCCGCCGGGGCAGGCCGGGGCGGCCTCTCCGCCGAGCCAGCCCCGCAGGGTCCCGCGTCCCCGGGGGCTGATGCCGGGAGTCGGCCCCCCAAGAGCGGTGGGGGCTCCGTGGGGGGCCCCGCGGCTTCCTGAGTTAACGGTGTCCCTTTTCCCGTGTAAACGGGGCTTCAGACGGCTGCGGCCCCGGCGGCGGCGTGATGGGCGGCCAGCGGGCTGGTGCCGGCCGAGGCTCTCGCTGTGCTTTAGGCTGTCTCGGGGACTTTTTTTTCCTCAAAAAAGATCCTCTCGTGTATAGAGCTTAGCTGTGTCTGGCTTAAAAAGTCAGTGTAATGCACAAATTTACGGGGAGCTAGGTTTTGTTAACGTGAGGCTTAGGAAGCAGAGGTTTTATTTCTTCAGTGAGAGCTGTTTGTTCTCTGCTGGTCTGACGAAAGTGTGGGGATTCAGCCGAGTCCCAGAGCCTGGAAGTCAGTCAGCAGGTCTGGGAGGATTGATAAATGTTCACTACGCACATTATATTGTGGCTGTACAATATTTATACATCCTAAGGAAAATAGACAAGCACTATAGTTAGTACTATGGTTGTGCATGTTTTATTTGGTGTTGGTCTAACACTTTAAATCGATGTAGATTGGTTTTTATAACCATTTTTGAGAAGTTATCAGAACAAATCCAGTAGCTTTAGTAATAGTTTTTCAGTTTCCATGTTAAAGGGAAGGTAGTCCTTACATATATTATTTGAGGACATCTGCAGGGGTGGGCAGCGACCATTGAATTGATTTCTAATCTGTTTTTTACGATCACTGGTTCACAGTCTTCTTCCACACTTTTGTACCTTTTCCTTAATTAAAAGATGTCATTGCAGGTCAAATTGTTAAATGGGGTGTGCATGGAAATAGTACAAGTAGTCTTATTTCAGAATAATGTCACAGGCATATATGCAAAAAGGAGGAATTGTAGTTCCAACTCACATATTTCTCTAGAAGGTTAAATACTACTTCATTGCCCGAATGAATGGACAGCCAGAGGGCTAAATAGGGGTTCAGTGGTTTGCCCAAGGTCATACAGTGGAGGACAGTCCAAATTCTTTTTCTTGTCTCTTAGCTGCAACCTGCCTCTTCTGATTTGAACTCCTCATTTCAGCAGGTGTATTTTTTTTTTTCCTTTTGTTTTATATGATACTGGACTAATGTTTTCAATTTGTGGAAATTACTTGGCCTTTTCCTGCAGCATCCCCCAGTACGGATGGTCGGACTTTGCTTTTCTATGTGGCAGTTGAGTGATTTTGGGGTGATTAACTTTGGTGCAGTTGTAACCTCCATGAGTTTGGTTTAGATGCAGTTCTTGAACAACTATTAGTTAGAAATATGTTTTATCGTTAAGACAAATAGTAATTAACCATTACGACAAACTGGCATAGAAAATGGCTAATTCTCCATCTCTTAAGTCTTCAGAATATATTTTCTTCAAGATATGCTGTAATTAAACACAATTCTTGAGTGTAGTTTGGGGGTAATTAGATAAATTTAGCTTCCCTTATGCTTAGAAAGGTGAATGTTGTCTTCAGCCTTAGTCTCCATGATTGAAAACTCTGTCTAATCATACCCATGAGGGAGTGGTTTGAAGCATACATACAGCACGAGGGTTAAAGCTGATTTTTTTTTTTTTTTTCCATCCTTAGTCCCCTGAAGTGCTTGTGCTTGTTTCAACTTTGTTTTTAGAATTAGTAATACACATTTTGATGTGTGCTGTGTGTGAGTGAACCTCTAGTGAGGTGAATTCTGCAATCTGAAGCATGACTTACCTTTTGCAATAGGAGTTCAGTCCCGTTTGGTCTTTGCTTCTTTAGCTAGATATTATCTATCTCTCCTGGTTTTTCTTTTTCATCCCATTGAAGGTCTACAATTCTAATCTTGTGTTTGAAATATGCTTAATTTGAGGGCAGTAAGAGATATTGCAGACCAAATTTGAATTCTTTTGTGGATGTACAATACCTTTACTCTCTCAGAACTGAATAATCATCTTAAATTCACATGAAATCTTTTTGTTTTACTTGAAAACTCAAGGGTTAGTAAATTCTAAGGTGTCAGTTTCTGCAGTCATTGAAAGATAGCAAAAATAAAATTTGTGCAGGGAACCCCAGATTCTTTTCCTAGACCCTGAAATACGGAGGAACAAGGACCTGCTAGGATTTTTGTCATGGGAATTCTCTTTTGACAGATTTTAGACATTATGGTTCAAAACCTTACATAATAAAATGCCAACTACTAGGGAAAAAAACAAGGATTACCAGGATGAGTGGTGTTTACCTCAGTTGCCCTTCTGTGCTCTCAGCCTCCTAGCTGCTGTCGAGATCAGTGTTTGATATGCCTCAACCTGGCTTCCATTTCAGATTGTCTTCTTACATAAATAACTCTAGTGCCTGCCTCAGCTGTGACTGTGGCTTTCATAAGCGGTGTCATTGAAACTCGCATGCCTTTTTCCTGTGTCATCTCAGACATCAGTTCTAAGTGGCAGTAGGAAAACTCAACAACATACTGATTAGTTTCTTCAATTTGCTGCTCTTTTCCAGAGCAGAAGGTCCCTGGAGTTAAGAACACTTTTTATACTTTTATGTAGGCACTTAACTTCACAGTGGTAAATTAATGTCAGTTTACTGAAGGTGTTTTTAAGTTTCCCACTTTAAAGCAAATTTTTACAATTTCAGATTGGCATTTTCATTAGTCAGTTATACATTAATAAGTGCTTTTTGACTTCAGTGAGTTTTTCCTCTTGGATTTCTCCAAGGCAGCACTTCGTGTGTATCACATTACATCTTCACTGCAGCTCAGTCTGTGATCCTTGGACAGGCAAGCAGAAAGGCAAATGCAAGCAGTTAATTTTATGGCTTGAAATAAAGTGAGATTACACTTAAATATGTATGGTTTAGGAATAGGAATTTAGTAAAAAGTTGCAAACTGGTGGCAGCTCTTATAGAAGCAGTTAATGTCAGGCTAAATGTGATAACATCCAACGCTGTCACGCACCCTGGAGGTGGGAAAGAGAGGTTATGGATAAATGCATGTCTGTAGTTTTACACTGGTTTGTGTACAGGTGAATAATGAATTGACACTGCCCTTTTCTGTAGTTGCATCTAGAACACTGCATAGAGATAAAAGATGCTTTTTCTGTGTGTGACACAAAGATTTCAGAGGGGAGCTAATAAAAATCAAGTAACAGTTTATGTAATACAAAGAAACAAAAAAGTATAAATGAAAATGCATCTTTTGCATTTCCATGGAGGGGAAGGCTGTAGGACTACGATTAATGTCCTGAATCATAGGTGATTGCTATTCTAGCAGTAATTTCCTTGATGTAAGGTTGTGGAAGGTAATTGTCTGGTATTCCTTGGCTATTTATTAAAGTTTCTGAAGTTTCCTTTTCTTTATCAGGTCAGGAATAGATTACTATAGAAACACAGTTGCATGAATGATTTTTCAATCTATCCCACAAAATGCAGGTTAGAATGGAAGACCCACATTTTTCTCTGTATCTTAGATAGTTTATCACTTGAATAGCTGTCTTCTGTTGACTTACTTCTGAAACCCCTACACACTTTTTAAGAGTATATGCTTTTGTTTTGCAGCTACAGGTTTGAGTTTATCACTTACCAGTTACTGGATGTCTCTAGATGGAGTATTATAGTGTACTCCCATTGCATTTAAATCCCAGCTTATAATATTATTTTAGGAGAACAGTAAGCAATGGGTCCCATGACCCCCTCTGTCATCACTTGGCATGCTCTCCATCTCTGTCATCTGGTAATGAAGAAGTATTTTCTTCCACTCCCGGGATGGTTAGCTGTAAGTACATGTAATCTGAGACAAAAAGCACGCTTCTGAGCAGTCCTACTGGTGTGCTTTGTCCATGGCCAGAAAGGTTGTGAGCCACAAACCCTTTCTTATCCCTAAATCAGCTTTTTTTTTTTTTTCTTTTTTCTCTCCAATCTTGTGGTAAGCAGTAGGAACTGGTGGCTTGAGAGGTATAACAGGGCTGTCCCTCGTATTGAAGCTTTTGGAGCCATCAAGCCTTACACATGGTGAAGGCACAAATAGTTTGGAGGTACAGACCACAGGACTGAGGTTGACTCTGTGTGGGAGTGGAATGGTTGAAAACAAGATTAAAAATCTTCAAGAGGTCATCTATGCCTTTTTTCCTTCCCTTTGGAGGTGGGTCAGGTATTGCTGACCTCTTCCTGACAGATTTTTGTCAAACTTATTTTAAAATTTCAATCCTTATCAATGAAAGTTTTACAACTTACAGACTATTAATCAATTTCACTGCCTTAGTTATAGTTACTAAATTAAGTGTATAAATATAGCTTATTTCCTTTTGTCAGTACCATGTGTGTATCTGGAGGTAGCTGTATGCTTCTCTTTAGTCATATCTAAAGGTTTTACTGGAAGTTTTGCAATAACAGACTTTGAACTCACCTCTCTTTATGTGATCTCTTTAGCTAGGGATGAGCTAATTACTTTTAATTCATAGCAGTAACTCAGTTCCTTCAGGGCAGGAGAATTTGGTGTAATTATTGGCTGGAGATGGAACAGTGTGTCTTGCTTTGGAGAAACTAAGGTATTACTTGCAATAAATAAATGTAATTTGATATCATTTCTCAGTTTTATCCTTCTTTTTTGTAACTATATTCACTTTACGTTTCTTGTAATAATTTAAAACTCTGAGAATGCTGTGTGACCCAATGACAAAAGTGTTACTGCAATTAAGATGTTTTTCCTCTACCTACTGAGCGTGTTACCTGATCAGAGGAAAACTTGTTGATCTGGTACTGTTCCTGAGGAGCTGGTGTTGCCTTTTATTTGTTACATTGTTATCTTGTCAAGGGCTTTATTAAAAAAAATAATAAATAATATCTGTTAGTACTTGCTTCCAGTATTTTTGAGTGTTTTGGAGTTGATTTGACTGACATATTAATTTCTGCATTTGCCTTAATCTCCTTTTTAAAGACAGAAATTGTTTCATTTTCGTGTTATTTTGGAACCTCACCTGCCTTCAGTTAGGCCTCAAAGAAAGCTGTTAGCGGCCATTGTGTTGCTTAGGAAACTTGACTGAAGCATTTATGGATGAATTTCCCTAGAACTCACAATGTTCAAAATATATAACTATGTAGTCTGTGATATGTGTTTTTCCTACACAAATCTATTTCTTTTATTACTCATGATTGTACTTAACCCTTTAAATTACAGTGGAAGCGAAGAAGACATTAAACACCTTTTCAGTGTACTCCATTGTTAAGTTTCTGATCTTACTGTTTTAGCAAGCCTTCTTTGTAATCCTCTATGTTCTTTCCTTTCCTAGTTATGTCTCATTATATGTCTAGCAATCCTGACTTCTTTTTTGTTTGTTTTTTTTGTGTGTTTGTTTTTTGTCTTTTTAATAAACAGAATTCCTACTTTGTCAGGGTCCTGTCTTTTCTAGGAAGATGATAATGCCAGCAGAGCAGACTGTGGCATTACATGGCTGAACAGCTATCGCCTTGCATAGTGTGGTCTTTGACTCTTTCAGCTTGATTACAGAACTGCTGTTTTGGTCTCCTGTTTGCTTGCTTTTAAATTCTTCCTGCCTACTTTAGCCCAGCAATCTGTAAAGGATTAATCTGTTCAGAGAAATGCACTTTGCCCCAGTTTGGGGAAAAAAAATAAAAAAGATGAAATCTTCGCTTGCAACAGCTCATCCAAATCTTACCAACTCTCCAGCTCAGCATTTTAGTGTGTGAGCTTGTTAATAGTAAAAATACATGTTAAAGCATACTACTGAAGTCAGAAAGTGATTTAATGAAAAATGAAAATGTGACATACTCTAGATATGTAGATTGTATAAATAAGTAATGTATTTGAATCTTTGTGTAAACTGTTAAGAATGTGTGTTGCTTATGAATATAAGAGGATGCTTTTCAGAACTTCTGTATTAATAATGTACTTTTCACTTTACAGCATACACAGCCCAGGGAGATGAGAAGACAGTCCCTGGTACTCCTGCAGATGCTAATGCCAGAGCCTTACTGGTTTGCAATGGACCTTTAGAACATTATGACTTTCTGATTAAGCAAGAAGAGCTGAGAAATGATGAGCAACAAAGAAGAGTTGTGCAGCACCTGCAGAAGTTGCATGAGAGCCTTAAAGGCTACAGCATCAGTTCAAAAAATCTTCTCTCAAAGGTGAGGTTTATAATAAAAATATTTTTTGCATTTATATTTGCTCCTATGAATGTGCTTAAAATACATAAGTTTCTGTCATTAACACAAGTCTGATTTTTGCAGCTGAGTCTTTACAGGTAGAACATTGTTTGTGTTTGGATCTCTAATACTTCTTTTTTGTTTGTTTGTTTGTAAAATTCCAGTGGCACTCTAGAAGTAACCAAATAAAATATTGTTGAAATAATTCTGTAAGAAAATATGAAATGATTTTGCTTATGTACACTGTCTGCCTTTCCAAAAATGTCATTTGGTTATAGGAGAGAGGGGCCTAGACCATTCTTGAGCACTGGTATAACGTATGTGTGTTTGGGTTACATATACTGAACACTGAAGTTTTGTGTTCTAACAGATCTTCCCTGAATATAAGTGAAATTAGCCAGCAGAGTCTAAATAATTTAGCTTTGTAAAATATTACAATATAGATCAGACATGACTCTTTTTTTTTAAAATGTCCATTCTTTCCAGTGTTGTTAGTCTCCAGGTAAGGTAAGAAAAGAAGGAAGAGGTGATCTGTGTTTTTGGGGGCATCACAGCTCCTCTTCAAAGTATTAAAATAAATTCAGACACATCCCTGTTGCACAGCGCCTTCGCAACCATACTGCTTTAGCATTAGTAATGCTAATAGCCTGCTGTTGCAGGTCTCTGACTTTTCCCTGAAGTTGTTGACACAGAGTTTTCCGGAGCCTCCGTGGCAGTATTTTTCATATCTTGTTCTCGTGCTGTTATTCTCAGATTGCTGCTCTTGTGGCCTTGCACCTGCAAATTTTGATAGTGTGGTTATGGCAGGTTCTCATGGGAAGCAACTAGAAGTGGTGTGAGAATCCCTCCTCAGCTTTCCTTGCCTCTTGTTGTGTAGATTTCAGTTTGTATCCCAGAAAACCATAGTGCCCAGCAAAGTAGACGAGACGTTTAATTGCTTGGTAAGTATTAGGCAATCATAGATGTGTGCAGAAGCTGACTGACCAGTGAATATGCTTCATTTGCACCTGATTAACATACTCCGGTCAGCACAAACAGTCATAAACATGGTGAGGGGAAACAAGAAGAATAAAGTGTTTGAGCCTGATGATAAAAGTGTGGTGCTAGGAAAAAAGCATGGCAAAATATTAATTGCTATCATTATCTTCACATTCCGTGCCGGAACTGGAGAGACACCTCCTTACCCCTAAGAGGAGGATGTTTGGAAGCTGCCACTGCTCTCCCCAGCCAGTGACTGAGTGTTTTGCTTTTTCTTTCTCTTGTACTGCTTTGATTTTTTGTTGGAAATAACTTTTACATTTACAGTCAGTGTATGCTGTCAGCTGCAGACCTTGCTGATACATCTACATGTCAACCTTTCTCAGCATCCATTATGCAACACACCTCATGGCGTAAATCTAAATATCTAGCTCTAACTTGTTACCCAACCATATACTTCCCATTCCAACCCCAGATTCTCCTATTACCTGGCACAAGTACTGTATTTTGTTTGCATGGCAAGCATGAATAGTACCACATGAAATCAGGGGAGCCAGTGCCTACAGGGCTTATGCCTCTAAATGACATGCTGTCCTCTGCCCTTTTGGCACCAAATGGCAAGCTCCCACTCTGAGGCTCTTCTGATGTATATTAGCTTCAAGGCATGAAAAAAGTAGAGAAGAGAACATTGGTATGAGAACAAGTAGTATACCTGTAATCGGCCTGTGTTACACCTATAGATGTGCCTGTTTCCAGTGGGCAAGTATAGCAGGGTGGAGAGCTCTGGGACACACGCTTGCCTATCAGGCTGCCTCCAACAGCCCTTGAATGCTTTGAACTCATTTATGTAGCTGGAGATCATATGTTTGCTAATCATATGCCCAGCTGGAAATGCCATAAATGTTCTCCTTTTCTCCTGATGAAAGGAAGCAGACTAAACACCTAGGAAGGAGTTGGTTTTATTATTATTTTTTTTTTTAATTGAGATACAGTGAGAAGAAATCTGAATGGGAAATAATTCCATGGAGCTGAAGTCAGGCACTCTGGAAGGAAGAACACAAGAGTAGTGAAGTACAGGAAGCAAAGTATTAAGGCAAGGCTGCTTCTAGAGTGTGTCTTTGGAAGTTCTGTTCTGGAAGCAGTTGACCCAATTGTCCTTATGGGTCCCTTCCAACTTGAGATTTTAAACTTGAGCTTTAAAGAGGATGTTTGGCTGCATGATTCCCTATAGTACCTGCCAGTTTAAATCATTCAATGATTGTAACTCTGGTGTGGGAATTGGAGGCAAACAATGCTTTGGGGTATATTTTTGTCTGCTCTGACTGGTGGGTTGGCTTATCACATTACTTAGCTTTTTACTTTTGGAATTTCTTTAATTAAAATTATTTAAAACATTAAAACAGTGTAAAAATTATAGTCTAAAAACTATATATTTATGGTATTTTAAAACACTTATGTGTTTTAGGGGGCGTGCCTGTGGCCATGTTGCCTTGATGCCTTTGTAGGCTAACTCTTGAGTCTAAACCAGCCTCCTGATTCAATTTGGGCACGTACTAAATAAAAAAATAGAAATTTCTTCTTCAAAAATGCTTATCTCTTATTTTGGCATCCAAAGCAATATGGCAGTGTGCCTGAATGAGAACTGGTTTTGCATAAGTGTAAGGAGATCAAGCTGGACTCAGCTTGTGAAACTAGTTCTGTAAGTGTACTCTATTTAGGCCAGAGTTTATATTTTGAGGATGCTTGATGTTAAAAGTTGTTTTGTGGGGTATTTTTTGTTTGTTTGTTTTTTTAATCTGTCTGGGCTTCTTTTTAAGCCTTGGTGTTGGGCTTGTAATCTTTTAAATTGTCTATCTCAAAATTGTCTTTAGGCAGCGTACCTGGACTGTAGAAGAGGAAGTCACTCAAAAGGAAGCCCGTTAACTGGCTTGCTCCTACATTATCTTGTGGACGTACTGCCAGACTTTATTCATTTTCGTTCTTTAGAAAAAATTGTCTTACAGTCAAGTAAGACAATCCAGACAGTCTTACTGTCAAACCTGAGGATCAGTAGGCTAGAGCATTTTGATCTTTGCTGGTAAACTGTTTTGGACATTTGGATACTCTGTTCTAAAAGTACTGCCTTTGAGAATAGTTTTGAGAGCTGACTTGTGTTAACTGGAGTGCCCTGAATCACTATAGTTGTTAGAGCAGGTGCCTTGTAGTGGCTTAGTAGATCAAGCATTATGTGGATTTGTTATTTACTGTTTCTTTGATTGGGAAGCATGAATAGGGAAGAAAAGTCTCTATTGCAGAGAACAAATACTAATCTTATTCTATTTAGGAAATTGCGATGCTACTTTGTCCCTGTATAACAGAGCTAATGGCAGTAAAGCCAGACTGATTGACACTTTCTAAAAAGGCAGAAGTCACATGCCTTTTTTTTAGGTTGAGAATGTGATTTTCACTACTTCCTTAAAGCATTCATTTTTCATTTAATAATGCTTCAATCCCATACTTTAATTCTAAACCAGCTTTTAAAAAATTGTTGTATGGCTTGCTGATACCTGGGAATTAATGCCACGGTGAGTGAGAAGCAGCTGTAGAACTACTAGCTATTGGGATAAATGTTGTTGCAGTTTGAGGTTTTTCTTCTAGAGCTTGATATCTCTGGAAATCTTAAGAAGATTGATAACCAGGTTGAGCACTATAGTGCTGTGCCATACATCAAACCCCAGGAAAGGAGAAGAACAATGAGTTTTGTGTAAATCTTTAACAGATTTACAAGCAAGCCTAGTAGCTTGTGTAATTAAATCAGATCGTGATTCATGATGGAGAAGCAGTCGCAACAACTTTGTTTCTCTTCTGCTGACTTTGAGGAAGTTGTTTGCCAGTTCAAACGGAGCTCCTTTTGACGTAAAATGAAGCCAAATAAAGTATGGTTTAAATTCTAATGCAAGCCAGGTTTTGCTTCAGCAAAATTGTAATCAACATCCTTAATGAAGGTTTTCCCCAGCATAAGAGTCACAGCTGTGAATAGGTAGTTGCTAAAATCGTAGCCATCAAGCACTCTACCAGCTGTAGACATCATGTACTTGTCATATGTCTGCATCTGTCAGGGTTTTCTAAGTAAGCAAAATATATGTTTTTCTATGATGGCCTTTCAGGGCAGAGATGCTGCTGCAGACTTCAGTTTTCAAGAGCAGAACTGAGGCTTTTTGTGCCTATAAGAGGCGGTGAGTACGGCTCTCTGGAATTGGCCTGGGTTTAATAGGATTTGTTACGTGAGCTGCTTTGACTCATAAGCCTACATTAGCAGAAGGTGTCTCCAGGAAGTACTAAGGATAGAGGACACAGGTAAATCCTTATTCATGAATAGCTTGTTGGCGCTCTCCTCCCATGAGGGCCTGGTACTTTGTAGCTATGAATATGCTAGGAAGTAGTTGTTCAATTTTTTTCTTTTTAATGATAAAAAAATTGGCATTGGTTTTGCTGAAAGTTACTACTTAATGGGTTTTAATAGGTGTTAATGAAATAAATTGATGTATTTTAAATTACTCAAGGACTTTTTGGAAGTAAGTCAGACACTTTAATCAGTTACACATAGTAGTTTGTAGATTGACTTTTTGCTTTTTCAGGAGGCTTCTAGCAACTTGACTAACCTACTTTTAGTGCAAAGTCTCCCACATTGAAAAGAATCTACTGGCAGCTTTTTAGAAATAAAAAATAATGGTGCTTGGCATTTCAAGCATGCTCATTTTTCCTGGTTCTGTTATTGAAGAGAATGTGGTTAAGAGGTTGCAGTGAAGAAAAGTGGGAAGAGAGAGAGAGGTCTTGCTCTGTCAGCCTCTTCTGTAGACTGATATTCTGTATTTTATTACATGATTTCTTCTGTGATAGAATTGCAGAAGCCTCTTCTAAAATAACATTTATTCCAGAAATAGTAGCTTCTTGCACTTCTGAACCAATGCAAGAAAGATCTGCTTTGGTTTCAGTTTTATTCCTTATTGTCACTTTTTGTCGAAATGGTTTTATTCACCAAAAATACGGCAAAAGTAGATTAGGGAACAAATACTTACATCAGATACAATGAAGAATTTCAGTGTTTATCCAAGAAGCTTGCATTACCTCGCAGGCCAAAGCTTTCTGAAATCAGTAGTCTGGGGGAGAGGACACGACACCAGCCATTTCCTTTATGATAATAAAACTGTATTTTTTTTATGATGTAGGTTTTTTGGGGCATCAGCTTAGAATGAATTTAAGGGGAAGAAATAATTAGTCTTGCTGCAATCCAAGTAGGCTTCTGTTTTTCAAAATTATTCCTCAAATTTGAACAATGACTTTGATCTTCAACTTGGTGAAAGCATGGCCTTCTATGCTGAGATATTTTGAGATCCTCTGAATTGAAGTTCAAGGCCGTAAGAGTTTGCACAGACGTTTCAGATCTCTAGCTTTTTAAATAATACCAATTGGGACATCTTAAGAGTTGTTGAGTTGCTGTACTAATGACTTGAAATAAGCTCAATTATAAGAGAGGTCATGTTTTGAAAAGAGGTATGAACAATAGTAAACACCATTCAAGACCTTGAAAATGTCTTCAGCTACAACAGCAACTAAAAAGGAGGCCTGAAAGAGTGGGAGAAAGAGGCAGTTTTGTTAGTGTTTACAAAAAAACACTGGGAGACTTGTCTCTTGAATTTTGCATGTTTTAATTAACCATCTTAGTATTGACATGCATTTTCTCCTAAAAGTTTTTAAAATCAGAGTGTAAATATTCCCAGGAAATTAGTTGCTTGCTTCTGGTGTCTGAGGTAGGGGGCATGGGAGAAGGTGGGAAGACGTTGCACATTATTAAAGATACTTTAGAAAGAATAGGAAGTTGTCAGAATGAAGGAGATGTTTTGACCAGGATAATTCCTTAGATGAGGTAGGATATTGATTGATTAAAGTGAAGTTTAAACAAAAAAGAAAAATCCGATTCGGTAGAATCAAAGCAAGGCATGCAGTTTTGAAACACAAATGTGTAAAACATTTTGATAGTAGAGGAGAGAATTTCATATATCTGGGGACACTAATGTGTGTGTCGTCTTGTGGAAGTGTAAATGTTTTAGTATATGAATGATTTTCAAAGAAAATTCTGTTAGTCAAATGATTGGTGAAAGGAAAAATAAAAGCTCCTGCTGTGGCATGTCCTGATGATAATGAAACTTGGTGAAGCACTTAAGTTATACTTTCTTATGTTATTGCAAAGAATGTTTTGGGAACTGGGAAACTTGGAGGACTCAATGAATTTGACACATTTGTGGTGATGCCCTCGTTTGAAAGGATGTGGTGAGCATTCAAAACATACATCTAAGGATTTCAAAATTCTCTCCTCCAAACTCAAATTTTGTGCATGCCTTAAAATCTATGGCTTTGTACATTTTAAATATTAACTTTAACATCCTTAAATCTTACTGTTGTTGCAAAAGCGAATTTATTGTCAACCAATTGAACATTGTGATACTGAGATGCCAAATATACCTCAGGATAATATGGAAGTGAGGAGAAGCTCATTCGTTTAGTTTGTCTTCCTACATCTTGCACTTTTCTCCCTTCCCTCCGTGAAACAAACAAGACTACCCTTGTAACTGGAGAATCTTCTGCATTAGGTCTCCCCCTCCTTTTGGAGTGTGTGTTTCTGTAGAACCAAGAGCAGTCTTCCACTTTGTTTGCTCCCACATACCACTAACTTTCTTGGCTTCTTGCTGTGTTCTAAGTTGAACCAATGGCATTGATTGGATTTTATCAGAAATCCTACTGGAAATTGCTTTTTTTCTTACGCAACTTCCAGGCTTTAGAAGATGTATGAGAATACTTTAAAAAAAACAGTAAAAAAAAGTAAAGCCATTTTGTCCCAGGCTGTCTGGGTTTCAGTACTAAAATTCTGCTGATCAAGTTCAGTTTCTTTAAATAAAATATCTGTTAAAAAATACCACTAACCAACCAAAACCAAACAAGAAATCAAAACCAACCCAAGAATATAAAAATAAATTCTTAATGATACCTGACAGGATTGAGGAAGTGAATCCTAAAAGTTTCATAGTGTCACTTCTGGCAGAAGTATATGTAAAATATTTCCTACAAACTTCATTAATCACTCAGAGAAGATAAGAGTGTTTCTGGTATTTGGGTTGCTTTTAGAGATGATCAGTCTCAGCAAATGTGTTTGGATCTGCTATAGTATCCTGCCTTTTTTTTTTTTTATATAGCAATTAAATATCACTCAAAAATTGCTGTCTTCACAAAAAAAACTTAATTCTATTTTTTCAATCAACCAGAAGTTGATTTAGACTTTTATGGAGACTAAGCTGTTATATGTTTCTAGCCAAAAACCCCTTTTTGTCTAACATATTTTCTAGAAATGGTAAGTACAGAATAAAATACACCTAAAAATGGTTAAATGTAATTAATAAACACTTTACAATGAAAAAAATGGTGTAAAAATGTAGACATTACTTCTCATTCTGGTTATATAACCTTTACAAAGCCAGGTAAAGCAGTCCTCTAAACATTGATTTGTTTTTCTAGCTTTGTGTCATTCCTTGTGAAACTGCAAATCACATTAATACATTTTTATGTAATAAATTAAATGTGATACTCTTTCAGTTTGTTAAAATTACTATTTTTAATCTCGAAGAAATTCTTATGAATGTCTCTCTCATTCGGGCGTTTTTTTTTCTGTTTCTTCACTGTGTAAGTGAGCATCAGGAGTTTAATGAGTGCAAAGCTCTTAAAAAGTACACACTGAAAAATGTTTGTCAATTAAATTTTCTTGCAATGCTTTCAAAGCACTAGCAAATAGTTGCAGCCTTGTCTATTAATGGAACCGTTTCAGAACATCTGAAACCCTGTTCACCCATAGATTGATGATACAAATTTTTTATTATCCTATTAATATAGCTCTAAATTAAATCTGTAAGTGGGTCTTACATAAGGGCTATGCTTGCATATTTTCTGAATAAACTGGTACAACGGACCTGAGACATTATCTTTCTACCTTTTGGTCATATATTTTCTTTCATATTTAATGAAGTGTTTTGCTACTGACTCCCTGTTTCTTTAACATGGGAGTGTATTTTGAAAAGTGCTTTAGATTCAAGTTGTTTAGCAATTACCCAGCTCCAAATGAGACCACAGGGTTGCAATTTTAATTTTCTTCTGTTTTGGCTCAGCTCATAGAACTCTAAAATAACCAAATACTCCTCTGCAGTGTTTCTGAGGATGTCAATTCAGTTTCATAGATTTGATGAGAATTTTGTTAAGATTTCCAGGTTTTTAGAAACTGTTTCTTTTTAGAATTAGCCTTGTAAGTGGCTATGGACAATACTGGGGGGAGGAGGACTGTTTCAAATTGAAAGCCTTGATGTTATTGCAAATTTTTCCATAAAATACATATGTTTGAGTAAAATCAAATAAACCATCAGGTATCCTAACGTATGCCCTAAGTAATATTAAGAGATTAAAAATTCTGAAACAGTATTCATTAAAGATAAATGTCACTTGAGAAAATGATTAATAAAAGGCATACTTTGAACATAACTTTTTTTTATATATATGCCTATATACACATGTGCTTGTGTATATAGATACATATTTTTATTTTGACTCCGTTGATTTTAATCGTGTTTAAACCAGAGATGATTCTGCATTTAAAATTCAAAGTGGAGAGAAAAGGGTCCTACAATGCTCACTGGTTTAGCAGTACTCATTTTCTAAATCCTAGTGGCTTATATCTTAAGAAGAGCTGCTTTAATAGGTATATATCTATGAATACTACAATACTGCTTAATTTTGTATCCTTTTTTTACAACTGTTTGAAATGGCTTAATGAGGAAAAGGATTTGTTTTGATGATTATGGATTAGGAAACAGTTAATCATGTTATATGTGTTCTGGTAAAAAGGCATGTGTGCTAGGACTGGGGATGGGGATGTTTTCACTGTGATCTAAAAAAAGAAACAAACCCTGCATGTTTGGTCTCCTGTATAGAACTTGCACAAATAACAACACTGAGATGGCTTAACAATTCTGAGCTAATGATTTATTCAAGGTTAGACTTTGCTAGATAGTGTTACTTTTGGTGATAAAGCGTAGCTACTTTCTTACTTTACCACAGCAATGTGCTTGCTTTTATTTTACCCTATATTCTTACTTATTTTTTCCCTTTTTATTTGCAGCTGTTTGCAAAAAACAAACCCCCAAAAGGTCTTTATGTCTATGGAGATGTTGGTAAGTTTCAGTTGCATCAATTCCAGGGGATTTTTCTCTAAATATGTGTTTAATAAAATTCTCAATTATCTAAAAGCTTTATGTTTGTGTAGCGTTACTGCTTTAATGAACTATCCAGGATTAATTTTCTTCCACTTTATGATGTTACTTAATACAATTACACTCTGAATTCTGGAAGCTGTTGGATTCGACTACATTACCTTGTGTATTTTTTTTTTTTCAATGCTAACCACTCACTAATATCTAAGAATGCAATTTTAAGAATTTGGGAAGTAATTGAGGGGGGCCATGGAGAGAATTTATATATTCTAATTGCAACAATGCAGCATGAAAACATATTCACTTTTCAAAAGGAAATATTAAGTATGTTTCCTGGATGCATATGGAGCTATTTGTTCAATCTTTGGGCCATCTCTGTATGGTTCAAAACTTTAAAACAGAAAAATAAAAATACAATTGTTCCAAGTTTTCAAACAGAAAATGTAACTGTTCTTCACAAATAGTCTGGTCTTGTCCTTATTCTGTGGAAGAGTATAGTTGCATTAGTTCAAAGCTAATGAACAATCATTATTGTAATCAGTATATACTGTTCTTAAATTAACTACCTGTTGGGTGTTTTTTGTGTTTTTTATTTGAAGGCACAGGAAAGACAATGGTGATGGACATGTTCTATTCTCACTTAAAAGTAGAAAGGAAAAAGAGAGTCCATTTTCATGGCTTCATGCTAGATGTACACCAGAGTAAGTGCAGACACAGGTATTTACAAGAATTTTATTAAATACAGTATCTATTGAAGAGAATGTCTCATTCTCATATCCCTATTAATCAGTGTAATTTTATTTAGGTATTTCAGCAAAAAAAATAAAAAATAGGAGAGAAGTTAAAAGATTTTAGCATTGTCTGTCATACCAGAGTGGATATTAATTGCATATTATTTCTTAAGTATCTTCTGTGAAAGATTCTGTATGCCTGATTGTATAGAAAACCAGGGTGTGCATTTAGAATTAAATCCTTAACGGAAATGTTTTCCAGTTACCAATTAGCTTGCATGCAATCTGAAGAAGGCAATTGCTAAAAGCGAAACAGTAAAGGTTAAATTCAATCTGCATTTTGAATAAGCAGTAACTAAATCAGGTATAAACATCAAGGAGAAATGAGAACTGTTCTGGCTAGCGAACTTCATAATAATTTATAGTCAGATGCAATACAATCCAAGAGACAGTAAAGTATGGCTGTAATACTTTGTGTCAGTGTCATCATCTGTATATTTTAAAGTACAGCCATGTTGCGATGTCCAAGTTCTTTTAACTAAATGCATTCTAAGTGTATCTTCAGAGCATGCAGTGCACAGAGCTGTGCCACTGATTTGTAAACACCATAAGGGTTTTTCGTACTCAGAGAGAAGATTAAGACAGAAAATGCCAAATCACAAAGTGAAACTGAAACTAAGGTAATGAATTGGAGCAAGATAAAACTGTAATTTGTATCAGTTTTAAAAAAATAAAGCATAGGTGCATAGCGTTCAAGGCTTCTTTGATTTATGTTTTACATATTTCTCAACAAGAAAATACGAATTGCAGAATGTGTGAGTTTTTAGTAGTTGCCTGGATGCAGTTAAAAACTGTTTTTCCCTCTTGAAATTTGGCTAAATTTGAAGCTTTCTTATTTTTACCAGACTCGGCTACCTTTTACTTGGTAGCTAAATAATTTTGTTCTACCTGTCTTAGAAAAAGAAATAAAAAATACTTTTCTTCTCTCTTTTTTTTTTTCTTTTCTTTTTTTTTAATCAACTGAGGAATACATCGCCTTAAGCAGAGCTTGCCAAAAAGAAAAGCAGGATTTATGGCCAAATCGTATGATCCAATTGCACCAGTGGCAGAGGAAATAAGTGAAGAGGCTGCTCTCTTATGTTTTGATGAATTTCAGGTAAGAAGTCAGTGATTACTCCTTTGCTTCAAGGGAAACTTAATAAAATTCCTTTCGATCTTAAAATATGACATTTGTTACTGCTAATGTAGTATTTGAATCACTGGCCAGTAGTGAACTGTAGAAGTTGAAGAGAAGTCCTTTCACAGCTTTGAAGATGGTGGGGTGGGTTTTTTCCAGGAGATAAGATGCAAGTTGGCGGTGTAAGTCCCCTCATGGTGCTTTCCTTTACCAGTCTAGTTACTGGTCATACAAGGGAGTATTGGAGTTTGGTGAAAGACTCCTGAGTAATTTGGGGCAGGAATCATCTGTCTGTACAGTGCCCTGGAGAGTAACTACCTGGTACTTGCTGGGCACGCCTGGCCTTTGCTGTAGTTCATATAATGCAACAAAAATTGTCTCGGTGTGATTAAGGATGTCACAATGACATGTCAAATTAACCTAAATTCTTTCCTAGAGTTATTGGAGCCGTTGGCATAGTAGTGCCAGACTATGTCAACGTAACTAATGTTTTAAGAAACTTATTGAATTAAACAGGAAAATTAAAAATAAACTCATAAAATGATCTTTGCCCAAGCTATCTTGGTTGATTCATTTATTCTACACAGCTTGTGAATTTTGCTTTAAGGGCATGTCACATTTAAGTGTAGAATTGCTCTATAAAAATTTTTAGGAGAGAGGCTAGAGGTTTTTGGCAACTCTAATAAGCTGAGATTTTTTTAATTCAGAGGGAAAATGCAGAGCAAGATAGGAACAGATGTGTGTTAGTTCTCAAATCACCAGTACTAAAAGAACAATTTATTAACTGCAAATTGTGTGTGTTATGCTCTTAAATTAATGTATTGCTGGAATAGTTAGAGCAATGTATATCTCTGAGCTATTATTGTGCAAACCTGTGCACCCGAGAAAATAATCGGTTTATGATCAGCTCCCGTGATGGGGATTTTTGTAGCTGTGAAAGTAGTAGGTGTTCTTGTTTTTAGTTCCTCTTGCATTTTTTGACAAAGGGTAGTCCTTCGATCTGTGCTTTTGGAATGTGTGGGGTCATTGCAATTGCTGCTGTTGGATCATTTAAATTGTGCTTTATCTAGTGAATACGAACGCTGGGCTTCCAAAACTTGCTTTATAAAATCTAAATACAGGGACAGTTGTATTTACACTATAAAGAAATGGGGAGGTTTGGAGAGGGCAGGGAGGAGTGTTAACTGTCATGACATCAAATGCTCAAATGGTATAGCAAAGATGCCTCTTTCTACCAGGTATTAGTGTCAATACCTGCTTTTCTGTCTAAACGTCCACTGCTTCCATATCCTGGTGTTGCTGTGACTACCTGTCCCGCTCCCACACTGTAAGGGGAGAGACTGGTATTTCTTGTTTCCCAGCTGATTGCCTGCTCCCTCTGCTGACTTGTTTGAGGTACATCAGTCATTTCACTTGTCAATACCCAGTTTTTGTCCATGGGTCACACTTGGGAAAGTAACACAGGAATTATACTTTAAAACGTGTATCTAAGACTTTCCATTCTTATGTGAATTTTAAAAATTTACTTGTCCTCAGTGTACTAACGTTCTAAACTCACAGATTTCTGAACAGCTGGATGTCTTGACTGATTTTCGCTTTGCCTACTGAAGATTTCTGAAATTTTGCAGAAGGCACTGAATTTGGGATAGGAAACCTTCTGCTTAAATAGTCATAAAGTAGTGCAGTGACTGGAAGAGCAGCTCACATGGTGACACAATTAACATTGCTTATAAGGAGCCATAGCTAATTCAGCATGTTTGCAGCTCGGTTTCCCACTGACTAGATTTCACCACAATCTGATTCACTCCTATTTAAAGAATTGCTAGATTAAAATGAAACTGGGAAGATCTGGAGACTCAGAACATATACTGCTCTGACTTGCAGGCAAAGCTACTGTCTGTTTTGAGAGGTGGAAAATCAAGGTGGGACCATACTGCTTTGGAAAAATACTTGTGTGCGGAGGAAGCATCAGAAAACTAGAGATTTGCTGTAAACACTTCAGGTTGCTTTCCAAATACTTGTTGGAAAAAAATGAGAATAAGCTGAAATTATTTATTTATCTTCAGATCAGGCACACAGACTAATGATACTGTAACAGGGACAGCAAAAAGTATTGTTAATACTGAGATTTCAGAGGAAACCAAATGCAGAACTTCAAAAGACAAAAACATTCCTGAGGTTGCACATGCTTTGACTAAAGCGAAACAGAAATATTCTGAAGTATATCTTCCTGCAAAGCCTCAGAACTGTCAAACAAGTGGAGAGTTGAGTAACTGATGTAGAAATATATTTCAGTACTTTTAAAAGTAGTTTTGTGTGTTCCAAAATATTGTTGTATTAAAAAATAAATAAATTACTATGTCTTAAATGTTTCTTTTTGCAAATACTGTGTGAAAGCCAGGACCTCAGTGATGGGATTGAACTTCTTGGTTTGTCCATTCTGAAGCAGATTTTTCATCAGCATTTGTCTGAGCCGTGGGCTCTCAGGTTATTAAAGCATTGCCACTTCTTACTGATCTTTGTCATACAGTTTACTGTAAATATTATATTGAAGTCCTTTTTTTTTTTAATCTTGAAAGTCTTAAACCATTCTAAAAACGTGTCCTAATTTTGAAGAAAAACCCTAGAATTAAGCCATTTGTAATTAAACTTTTGATGTTTCAGAGCACAGAGGTTGGCCAGTAAAAGAGACTAGTTATTGTTTAGCCATCACATTACTATACACAGGTAATCAGAAGCTCTGATTTTGGTGTGTGACTTACGTTAGTTAGAATTCATAATGAAAACAGAATCCCTACTTCTGGGTAAGCTGGGTGATCATACAATGTTAGTCTTATGTATATCATTGGTATCACTTTGACTTAATACAAACTACAATTTAGGGAGTTTTTACTAACCTGCATGCTATTAAAAGCCTCTAATAAAAATTAGGCTCTTATTTTTGTGCTAATACTAATTACTGATAATACATGCTTATGTTTGTCATTCATTACGTGGAACTGTACCAATCAGTGGATGACTGAGTTTCAGGCACTTACACATGTAAATTAACTATTAGTCTAGTGTTTTTTTCTTTTTTTTTCTTTTTTCCTTTTTTTTTTTTTACGTGAGTCATAATGGAAAGCAGCACTAGGTCATAAAAATCTTTTCTCTTAAATGCTAATGAAATTTCTCCATTCTCTCCATTAACAGGCTCTCCTTATTGGTAATTTGTAGCCTTTGCTTTTGTTCCCTGTTGCAATGAATGCTGGATACAGTAAAAAACATGAGAAATGACAATGCTTTAGTTACTGTCTTCTACCTGTTCTACCTTATAGACATTTTTTGTCTTTTCTAAGCTGTATTAGATAAAAAGAGCTCACGTTTGCATTCCAGTTCTCAAAATCATGCTTGATTTTTTTGACTGAACTCATAATGGGGTGAAAACATCAGAATTCAGCATGAAATAATGGTTCTCATTAATGACAGAATGTTATTAATTGTTTTATTTCATATTAACATTAATATTCTTTCACTCCCTGTTTTCTAAAGGTAACATGCCTTATAGTATTTTTAAACATTATATAATGTTGTTACACATTTTTTTTGTTTTTAAAACTTGGCTATTAGGTTTTCTTTGTGATACAAGAAATTCTGTTAACTCTAAAATTCACATATATACTATGTGGGGTTTTTTAGGAGCAGGAAAATTCAGAAGAAATAAATTCTCAATAGGTGGGTGGGTAAGCAGCTACATTAGACATATAGTACAATAGTGAGCCACTACAGTAAGATCCAATAATTCAAAGAGCATGATCAGAGATGTGCAAATTTGAGGGATGTGTTACTGATTGTGCAAAACTGGTTTTGAAAAAGAAATTAAAAATCCATATGAATGCATTGCACAGAGCTAATTAGATGAAATCTTTGGAAGAAGAAAACTGTGGTGTTTTCTTACGGTTCCTTTTGAACACTGTTGCTTCCAAACTAGCTCTCAGAAATGTAACCTAGGTCCTCTGCTGTGTCTGATGTAGAATTATTTTTTTTCTTGCTGCCCAGAAAAGTGACTTAGAAATTTAGGGGGGGGTCGGGGGTGTGCGTGTGTGATAAAGTAGGAAAAAAAATTATACTGGTTAAATCTTTCTGCAGATGTATTCCCATCACAACATACACATCTAAACTGGTGAAAGCATGGCAGTCTGTCAGTCTGTTGTGTATGAGCGTGTAGAACTCTGGGCATGCCACCACTTTTTTATTTTCTCAGAACTGGGGTCTGTTTTGGCAAGTCAAAATGCAACAAGTGACTATATCATAATCAAAGGAAATGCAGGAGAGACAGGTGTAATGGTAATAAAGCTGGGTTGCTTATTAGGATTGCTGATCTCAGCTGGTGAACTCCTGTGAAATAGAAATGGCTGTTGTAACAATGGGGGCTTTTTGTTTGGAAAAAGATACTAAATTTTTTCATTTGTACAGAGAGGAATGCAAAACAGAAACCACTTATTTCTTGGTACTGTAAAGCAAGTTAGTTAAGCTAAACTTAGATGTTGAAAGAAATTTTACCTTATGGCTTTTCTTTTAGTCTTTTTTTTTCTTTGTGCCATCCACACACTCCCCTCCCCAGCCCCTGCCAGTATCACTTGTCCCACCCATTTTTATTTTTTGTTAGTGTTTTGTTACTGAAGGTTAGAAGAGGCTGACTGTGCTGGAAGTGACTGCCGTGCCTTTTGATTATTCATGGACAGTAATAGAAGGCACTTAAAAAGAACAATGAAATTGCTTATTTTTGTGATGGGCCATCTGTTGAATTGTTTTTTGCAACAATCACACAATAGTATCTATGTCATATCATTCTATTTTCAACAGCAGCTGATTATGTATAGTTGGCTACTTGTCTTTATTTCTGAAGTCCCATAACCATTTAAATTCACCTCTGCAAACCTTTGCCTCAAAGGTAATAGAAATGTAAAACAATCGATGTGTATTTTCTTTCTGTCTTCTGGTTTTTTTCATGTTGTTTCTAATTAATTAGGCCTCTTAAATGTTTAGGTCTGTTTTCTATGTCTCCCACCTGTAGTTTTATAATAGAAGTTAACACGGAATCATTTAGCAATTGGTAAAGAAATGGTGGAGTTCTACAATAAAGAGCGGGCAAGTTCTGAAAGACTGTGGTACATTCACTGCTTATTAATTATCCCTTTTTTTTTTTTTTTCCTCACCAAGCAATAATTAGAATCTTTCTTCGTGGCTTTCACTAACAAGCATTTTTCCTAGCTATAAAGCCACTTGCAGATCTATTGCGGCAGAAGCTGAAAGCAAGATAAAACAAATGTGTTGTCTTCTACAGGTCACTGACATTGCTGATGCCATGATTCTGAAACAGCTTTTTGAAAATCTGTTCCAAAATGGGGTTGTCGTTGTAGCAACATCTAACAGGCCGCCAGAAGGTAAAAACAAACATGCTACTAGTATTGTCCAAATCTAATGAATCTCAGTATATTACAAAGCATTAAATTAAAATCATATAATATTTAATACTAATAAACTCTGTAGTCTTCAAGAATCTGAGATATTCCAATTTGTCCTCTGCTTTTTCGTGTTCTTAATTTGAAAGGTTTTTCACTAAGACTTACTCCTGTCTTCTCCCAAACTCGAGGTGTTCCTTCCTGGCCATTTCCCCCCAAATCTTTCAGTATTTTCTGATCCTCTCTGCTCTATCCAAACCACTGGGAGGGTATCTGGGGACAGGGAAGTTGAGGAATGGTGAAATATTGCCTGTCTTTTGAGTGTGTTCCAGGGTAGGAAAAAATCGTATTCAGCAGAAAAAAAGGGCAAATGAAACTACATTCCTTCCTGGTGTTTAACTAGGAAACCTGAAGACTTGATTCACCAGCTCAAAGGAGAAGCTGTACCCCTTATCAAGACGTCATTCTTACAGCCTTGTTTGAGGTCATCTGTTGGGAATTACTTAGGTGGAGAGTTATTACCATTTCTAACAATATTTTTAGATAGACCATGACTTGCTAGATAGGTCCTTCTATAAAGCCCCCCCTGTATGTGTGAGTTTTAACCAAGCAGTAATTGCAGTTTTTTGTAAGTGAGGAAAATGTTTCTTGTAGTGTTAGCAGTTAGCATAATGCATGATTTCTATGCAATATTTATGACACTTCAGATTAATTTCAAACGTTTGCCAAAAATACTCAAGAGTTACAGTACGAACTGTAACTACCAGTTAACTTTTCCACCCAAATTAATTGGGTAAAAGAGAATCACTAAAGATTTACAGTGCACTCAAATGTTGTTACTAGAGTGAGAAATAATTTCTGTTGGTTTATTTTCCTTGTTTGAACAAACTGTAGCTGGGTGAACTACAGATAAACTGGATGCTGGTGCCTCACTCACTTGGGAACCATCCTTGTGTGTTTTGAAGCACTACTCTTTGAAGTTCAGGAGAGATTTTTATTTTAACTTGGGGATTGTATCCCACATCTGAAATTAAAGATGTCAGTTTGTGACCATTACCATCATGTCTTTTAACATTAATACATATTAAATGACTGTGTCAACCTGAAAGACATCTGCTTGTAGTAGGTGCTGAAGAGAGAATCTCAAGCATGGCATCTCCAGACCTGAGCTGTGTTGCAGTCCAGGGCTTGGTCAATGCCTGTCTCTTCTTCCCTTCTCACTGTTCCTGCACGCTCACGGTGTGTGTGTCTGAAATCCTCCCACAGGAAGGAGATTTGGGTTAGTGTACTCTGCTACATCAAGGTTTAAGACTGAATTAAGAGCTTCATTTCCTGTGGCTACAAAAGGGAAAAGTGGCTTTTTTGTTAGAGAGCAGATGTACCCAGCTGCTGACCATTAGTGCTATGCTTAACCATGTGAAACTTCTGTCCCAGAGGAATATGAGGGGAAGTGCTTGGGTGCAGTGTTTGAGGAATCCTGGCTTCATTTCTCCACCAAAATTACTGTTTCTTATCCCCACAAACCAGAGATGTAATAGGAAATTCACAGCCTTAATAACCAGAAGAACTAACAGAAGTAGCTGTCTTACAGTACTGTTACACTGTTCACTATTGTTTGCAAGTAAATGTGCGATTGATTGCTGTTTTAACAAATGGATAGCTATCGTGATTTGCAGAGTTAGGAATGAGGATAATCTATGACTTGAATGAAAAACTAATATATGACTTCATACGACTTTGTTAGTAATTAGGGTGTGGAATCACCTTCACTGACAATTTTCCTATATGTTTCTATATACATACCCAATTTTGTGAAAACCATTTTGTAGGTGTCCTACTGGTTTCTCATGGACACTGTATCTTCTGTCCACCATGAGGTGTTGGTAGCATGTAAAAGCTTTAGCTTAGTTGTAGCATTCAGGCATTATGAGGAATATAGGCGATACTGGTAACCTGGGGTGGTCTTTGTGGGGAATTTTGGCAACATCTCTGCCAGGTGCCTGTATTCTCTTATTCCTCCTGTCATTCATAGGGGCTGTACTGCCTTTTTATAAGGCTTCCTAATATCAATGAAACATAGCAGCTCATCATATAGTTCCAGTGATAATGTTTTCAAAGAACAAGTCCTTCTATTATGAACATGTTGGGCAGTTGGATAGTTTCCAGAGAAGAGACATTTATGCTATATAAAATCCAGAAATAAATAAGATATAGAATGCTGCTTTCCAGGTTTCTTTTTATTAATTTGCATTTTCTTTGAGTGCAGAACTGCATTTTGTTACATAACATTACTTTTTTTTTTAAATTCAGTTGTATTTTTAGCAACTTTGCATAAGCTTACACACTAATTTAACTTTTTCTTGATTTGGTAAAAGGGGTTGTACCTGGTAGAATTGCTAGATAATAAAGTGTACCTCAGTACACTGAATAAGAATGATACTAACTTTGTAAACTCAAATAGCTTATTTTTAGTTTATGGTAGGTTTTTCCCCTCTGCCAAATACTTGGCACTTAGCAGTTGCATGGTTTTGGCCTTATACCATTGTATACCCACTGTTACAGCAAGGATATAAAAAGGGATTTGTAAAACAGATGCTGCCCTTATTTCTTCTGCTAAAATCAGCTATCAGCTATATATCGTTAGAAACTTAAGTCATCTTTCACTCCCTGCCTTTTTTAGACTTTTTCAGGATGTTCCTATCTTCCTTGAGAATGTATTGAATTTTCATGCAGCAAAAGAAGAGAAATCTATTTTAGGTCTTCTTTTCCACCTTTTGTTTCTCCTCTGTCTAGCAACACTGAGTTTTATTTGCCAGACTAAAAGACAAGCTGCCATTGTTATTAAGACTAAGTAGCAAAATGGTGCTAATTTCTTTTCTTTCAGATCTCTATAAAAATGGTCTTCAGAGAGCTAATTTTGTACCTTTCATTGCTGTGCTGAAGGTAAGGAGAGTCGCTTGTTAAATGCTTTTCAATTTTGCCTGCCGTATTAGTAAATTAGAGAATTGTATACAATTGCTTTGATACTAGATTCCAGGTAAGATGTATATGCTTTAACTGGTTGGAGCAAAAATACTGGAAGGTAAGGCAAAAAGGAACTCTTCTTCTCTATAGAATTAACGTGGCTTGAAAGCTGGACACTTTTAGTATGACAAAGTTACCTTTTTGACGAAGGTAGCAGAATTTGTTTGTCTGAATAGGACTTTCTTACTGATGTGTGTCTACCGTGTAACACAGTGTTCCTCTGACAGTCATACTGCATTGTAGTTGGGGACATCTTACATTTATTATGCTACAAAAGCTCGGTGTTCCATTGGTGTGGGGAGAGTAGTGTTTGGTGTGTGCCCCTCAATTACCTTGCTTCTGGGTCTGTCTTGTGCGTAAGTGGTTTTCTGAATGGAATTTGTGAGGCTTCATGTACCATTCAACAGGCAGCAGTTCTGAGACAAGTTTTCTGGGGTCTGGGTGTTCTGGTGTGGCAGGACGTAAACTGGAACTGCTTCATTTTAAAAGATTAAAAGATGGAGCATCCTCTCTTGATGTGCATAATACAATTGGTGCTTATTTTGCTGTTAAAAAGAACGTATGTTGAACTCACACTTCTAAGTTCTGGGTAAGTCACAGATATTTTTAATAATAAATTTGGAATTGCTGAATAGATACATTGGTTGGATATTTCTGTTAAGGTGATCAGCAGTAAAGCACTTGACAGTGTCTTGAGTTTTCAGTGGGGCATTTCGGATTCATAAGATTGCTTGGTTGCCTAAGCACCTTTGAAAATCCCATCTGCTGTTGACATCTGAGCAGTAAACAGGTTTCCATGTTAATATGCCATTGACATGAATGTGGCACTCCCATGTGTCTCAGAATGGCTGTGTATAAAGTCAGGGAGGTTCCCAGTGGAAGTGGTTCTTGCCTGGATGCCTTTAGAAAATTAAGAACCATAAAAATAAACGAACAACCACTTCCACTTCAGATTCAGTGTAGCTGACTGCATTGGATGCAGGACAGGTCCTGATCATAGAGTGTTTTCAAGAATAGTAGTAGTTTCATATGCATTTTTTTTTAAATGCAGCATCCATGGCAAATATTTCTTTCTTATGTGTCTTTCCTTGTTTGACTCTTATTTTTCTTCCTTGATAAATGTAAGGCTCTTTCATTTCACTGATGATCAAACGTAAAGAACATGTATCATGTGTGCTTATTTGTAGTTTCTTTTTTTTCCTCTTTTTTTGGCTAGCTGAAGGAAAAAAAAGTGAAATGTAGTTTATGCATACAGAACACCTCATCTGGACTGGGAAAACAATCTACATTTTTTAGAAGGGACCTTGTGGATAGAATGCTGAGAAAAGTCCTAAAGATGGATTGGTTTGGAGCTATGACAGAGGAGGGAGTGGTGTGAAAAGAAACAAGTAGCACAACCCAGACTAGAGGTGGACAAACATTACTGTAATTATGAATGGAGAAAAAATGCTTCACTCAACACTCTCTTCTCAAGGGCCTTTCTAAAATTCTGGATTATATGTCATTGGTTTTTCCCCTACATCTTTGTGTTTTAACAATGCTCTAAATGTAGCTGTCTTTAATGTTATTTTAATAAATGTTGCCAATGTAACGTGATTCTTTCCCAAAAAAATAATGCCTGAAAGGTGGACCAGAGGAAGCTTATCAACAAATGACCTTAGTTGCAAAGTGGAAGGGTAATGGCAAAGTATTACAAATAATAATTCAAAAATTTCCAAATCTACATTTTGAATTCAACACATCAGACTTAGGCATTAAAAAAAAATGCACTGGAAAGTATTTTAAAGTACAATTTTAACAAATGACCTTTACGTTACTAAGGTGTGAATAGAACTAAATCGATGCTCTGGCTGCAGTGGTTTGAGAAATGCAGGTTTAGGCCTCCCCAGTGCGTGTGTAGTCTGTACCATGCCATCCTGTACCTTCTCTCCTGGCACTGGTTATGGGATGGAGTAGCTTCTGCATCAGCTGTGTATAGTTTCCATGTATGATTTTTAGGGTCATTTTCCAGGGTTTTGCATGGAAATATAATGGAAAAATAGTACATTGGATGCTTTCAATTGTGGTTTGCTGTCTTCTGTACCTTCACCTTATTCTAAGTGCCATGTCTGGTAGTGTCATTATCATCTAACCTGTTCCCTGACTTTGACAAATTGGACTAACTTCTATCTTAGTTTTCTCTGGACTCAGAGACTCCTGCAGGGCTTTTGTTTGGGGTTTGGTCAATGGGGGGTGAATGGGTGTGTTGGTTTTGTTTGCTTAGGAAATTAATTTTTATGAGCATAAATCGTAGCGTAAGGTTTTAGCACTAAAAGTAGTTCAGGTTCAACACAGGAGCTTCAATTTCCTTTAAATATTATTGGAAAGATGGGATGAATGGCAAGTAACAATAGTACATTTCTGTGAAGGGGTGCTTCACTTGAAATAGGTTTCAGGCTGTTTCCATTCCTCATAAATGGAACGCGTAGTTCCTAGATACCCTGGTAACTCTTATACAAATATATTTCCCTTCAAATTGACAAAAAAACCTTGTTTATTTCCTAGACCTAGAATTACCTATGCTCATCCTTGATTTTCTTATTATTTTTGTTTTCTTCAGGCTACATAATTCCAGTATCTGGAATTGGGTTCCTATTAGTTACAAAGATAACTACAAACCAATTTTTGTGGAATAGGCAAAAAGGTGAAGCAGCACTCTAGGGAAGATACAGTTATCTTGCGAAATTTGTCTGTGTTGCCTTTCTAGGCAGTAGATTACTGGGGACAAGTGATTGCTGAATCACCCTGCCTGCAGTGGGAGGTGCAGTTGTTCAGTTCCACTTTTCAGGGGCCACATAAAATCTCCAGGTCTGTGTAGTTAATCAGACCAGTAAGACTATTGGCAACTCTTCCTGCCCTGCATGTGTCCCCTGCCCAATTCTGAACCCATCCCAGTGTTCTCAGCTTTTGAAATAGTTTGTGATGCAATTTTTCAGTGATTCTTTAATCCTGTAACTTAAAGTAGTAGTTTTCATAACTAGAGAAAAACTCTCAATTGATTGGTTTGTTGTTGTGACTAAAATTGTTTGGGAAACAGTATTCTTTATGGAAGGCTTTGTTTCTGCAACAGATCGGAGTGCTTCTTCAGTCCATGGAATTTCATGAAGATAGGGATTTAAAGAGATAAGAAGTATTAGAAAGGAAAATCTTTTAATTCTATAATTGCAATTAGATTCAGTCTCTTCTGATTGAGCTTTTAATCTTGTAGCATCTCTTAGCAAGTGTTTTAAAGTGTGCGGAACTCCTAGGCATTTTTTTTTTTTTTTTAACAAAGGCAGTTCTTGGAAAGAAAAACATACATTGCTCACAGTTACTTTGTTCAAATGCTTGGAGCAGAAATACTCTAAAAGTTAACGTAAACCAATAACAAATATAAAATTTTTCTATGCATTTTAAACCTGGTTTACAAATAAAGCAATTTGAGTTTGATGCAAGATCTGAAATGAGGCTCTTCAAAAAAAAAAAAAGCACAGTTTAATTTACTGGTTTGGTAGTAATTTTGGCAAGATTTTAATTTTTTCAGGTGTTTAATGAAGACATTAAACAAGCCTTAAGTGTTCTGGCATCCTAATTCTAATGCAGTGACTAGTTCAATGCTTTATTGTTTGGACAATCATGAAGGAAAGCTTCTCAAATAGTTTGTTCTCTAGAATCTATAACTTCTAAATGAGCAGTTCTTGAGCTTCCAAAGGTTTCCTGGAACTGTAGCGTAAAATTTAAAAATGTCAAGCAGAAGTGAAATACCAGATAAGTAACTTCTGCATTTTTTCAAGTTTTCTTCATGCAGTAGGCCTGCACTGCACTAAGTTCTAACTGAAAATCATGAAGTTTTAGGGGCTTTCATAGCCTGAGCTTTAAAAAGATACAGTTTTAAAATAAAAATGTTTGGCTTCGGCTACCTGTGTTGATTGTTTTAACTAAAGAGAAAGAATCAGCCGGAAACCTGTTATCAGTAGGACATGAAATTACTGTAAACTTCCTGTAGTGAACTCTTTTTTTTTCTCTTTTGCTGTTTGGGACTAAATCATTATTTATTTTAAAAATATTTGGTTAAAACTGCTTTAACAGTAAGTGTTGTACACTCCTCTCCAATAGAAAATAATGTATCTTTTTATGTTATATTATTCACTGTCTGTCTTGAAATTGGTTAATAATTATGTATTTACATTTTTGTCTACTCTGGTTAGTTTTAATTAAAATATACCCTTTCATTCAAAGCAAGAAATAGAGGAATTTAAAAGTAGTTTCCCTTTTCAGTAACTTAGTTTGACTGTGTGAAAAATATTTGTTTTACAACATTTCGAGCTATCCCTAAGGAAATTGTGGGAGTTAGTTTGGTACAAAGGCATTCGGTAGATAGAAAATGCCTTTGATGGGGCACTCTGCTTTTGTCCAACCACCTGTGTGAGAAATGCAGGGATTTGTTGATTGGCGGATCTGCCTTTTTCCACCCCCCCCAAAAAAAGTCATCTCCTTGATGAAATTGATTTGTCAGTTTGTTCCAGTCTAATGGTGTGATAGCCCAGCAGCTTTCAGTATGTTGAATAGTTAAAACCTGCTTTTGAGGTCAGTGTCAGCCACTCTGACCCCTGTGAACTGTCACCTGAGTCAGAATTGCAGGGATTAGGCCTTTGATATTGTGATGGCTTTGCCTATCAATTGACTTTTTCATTACTGAAGATGTTGGGCCTTTTGTTTCCCTTCTTAGTATGTAACCAAGCAAACTCCTAAGTAGAAGGAGCATTTGTTCTTGTTCTCTCTCTCTGCAAGTAATAGAAGTACTCATCTTTTGTGAAGCATACCTAATTAAACATAGAAAAAATCGAAAATACAAAATACAGCATGATTGGAAGAGTTTTTATTGTAGGCATCAATAAAGT